TGAGTTTTCTTTAAACTATCTGCAAGAGTTCACCAGTCTTTTTACAGGACAGCTAATTAGTGTTCCTTCATCATCTAGGAAAGTGGGGAGCTGGTATTTGCATCTGAGCATTCCAGGCTTATGCTGATGCCAGGTCTTCTATATTCTGAAATAAGGATATTATGAGTCTAGATTACATAATCAATCCCTTCATATAGTTTTCTCTGCCAGAGGAATAAATACAACAAAAAAATCAACTGTGACTGCCAGGCTTCAAGATGATAAAGAAAACTATGGTTGCGCAGCTTCAAAACAGCCATAAATGCACATCCCTCGTTTTCGAGGAGCTTCTAGTTAAAGAAGGGCCATCACTAGGTAGGTCCTCCTCCCAGGGACTGGACTAGGGTGCTAAAATGGCCACTGGGTCTTCCTGTTCCAATACTACAGGATGCAGGCTTCTGGGCCGGATTAAAAGAGAGAAAGCAGCGGCGGAAAAGCAGGTAACCAAGAGCAGAGGGTATAAAGTAAAAAGACAGAGGCTTTGCCGGTAGGGACTGAGGGTCCAAGCGCCGCGCACAGACACCTCGCGCACAGACTCCTCACTGGAGAGGGTTTGTGATCGCCGCTTCTTCTCCTGCCCCAAGGCTCCTGGCAACCTATTACTGGTGGTGAAGCGGTTGACGTCTGCTGTTGCCGGGCAGATTTGGGAGCACCTCCTTCCTTACTTGCAAGATCCAGCAATCAAAGTGGTGAAAAGTGAAGATGACAGGGAAATGGAAAGGAGGCATGGAAGAGCAGGAAAAGAAGAGGAATTAAAAACAAACAAACAAACAAAAAACAAACAAACAAACAAAAAAAACTCAGGGTCTTCTAGAGAAACTTCTGTTCTATGCTGGCGGGAACATCCAGGAATGGGAAGTTCACTCCTGCAGTCCATTCCCACCTTGGACAGCTCTGGTGGAGAAAGTCATCTTTAGATTGGGCTGAAATTTGACTTCGATAGGCCTACAGAACTATCTAACGCCTCTTCCACACGACATCCCATAGCACTTGGTTAAAATACGCAAAACCCCATTCCTATTTAGGGAGTGGGGTGGGAAGAGAAGCAAACTGATTTCATCAGACTCATAACAAGCTGAATTATTTCCCTTGAAAAATATGAAAATATTGGTGAATTTCAGAATAATAACGGGGAACACACAAAAATGAAAAAATTGCCAGACACAGTGATGCTCACACCTGTAATCCCAACAACTCAGGAGGCTGAAGCAGGAAGATCAAAAGTTCAAGGAGCTTCAACTGAGACTCTACCTGAAAATAAAAATAAAAGGGGTTGGGGAGAGGCTGTGGCTGTGGTTCAGTGGTAGCACGCTTGCCTGGCATGTGCGAGGCATTGGGTTCTATTCTCAGCACCTCATATAAGTAAATAAAATAAAAGTCTATCAACAGCTTAAAAAAAAAAAGGTTGGAGAGGTAGCTCAGCTCCAAGATGATAAGCAAAGTGACAGTTGCCCAGTTTCAAAATGGCCAGTTCAATCCTCAGAATTTATTTATTTACAAAAATAAATAAATTTTAAAAATTAAATAGTGCTGGGATGTAGTTCAGTGGTAGAGTATCCTGGGTTAAATGCCCAAGATCACCCCCAGCCTGAAAACAAACAAACAAACAAACAAAAAAAGCATGTTTTTATTTCTCTAGGACTCCTACAGCATCTGGCTAAGTGGAAACATTTTGTAGTCTGTTATTCTCAGTGGACCCACCAGAATAACTTAAGAACACAACTATTATGTGACCAGGACATAATAGTTGCAAAAGGTCCCATGCCTACAAGGGGACACTAAGTTAAAATGCTCTGTGGTCACAGTCACATCTTGGAATTCTTTTTTTTCCCTGGCACTGGAGATTGAACCCGGGGCACTCTATCTATCACTGAGTTACAGTCATAGCCCTTTTTTATTTTTAATATTTTTAGAAATTTATTTTCTCATAGTTCTGAGACTATAAGTCCAAGATCAATGTGTCAGCAGGGGTAGTGTCTGGTGACGGGGGCTCCCTCCTTGAATTGCAGACTTCTTGGTAGATTCTCAAATGTTCTTTCCTCATTGTGAATGCAAGATAGTGCATTCTAGTGTGTATTCTCTTTTATTTTTTTAACATTTATTTTTTAGTTGTAGTTGAACAAAATACCTTTATTTTATTTATTTTTTATGTGATGCTGAGGATCAAACCCAGGTCTTCACACTGTAAGGCTAGCACTCTACCTCTGAGCCACAACCCCACCCCTATTTTTTATTTTTTGAGATAGGGTCTCCCTAAATTGCTCAGGCTGGCCTGGAACTTGCCATCCTCCTGCCTCAGTCTCCCAAGTTGCTGGGATTCTAGGTATGTACTTCCATGCCCAGCTACACCCCAGATTTCTGTATGTGGCAACCCTGTTAGCTTCATTTTGCTGGTGGCTTCTCTCCCTTCTCTTATATACATCAACTTTGCTCAATAACCATGTCATCCAATGGACTTCTCATCATAGCTCCAGGAATCCATTCTCTTTCAGGAGATATGAGGTATCTGAAAGCACAGACAGAAGTAAGGTGACTCATCAGGTGCCCTGTAGTGTAATGGCCACAAATGCCAATGCTGAGGCTAGAAAGCCTGGCTTAAAATCCCTGTTGTGTTGCTGCCTAGTTGAGCAAGTTACTTTACCTCTTTTGTTCCTCAATTTTTTGAGGAATAAAATATTTTAATGTTTGTTTTATTGTTATGAAGATTAAGTGAGTTAATCTATATAAATTGATTGGAAGAGTGACACATGGAAGCATTCAATAAGGTGGTAGGATGTTTGGTTTTGATTTTTTTTTTTTTCCAGAGATGTTGTGATTTCCCCAAAAGGGTTTTGAGCTAGTTCTGATCCACTCTGACCATCCCAATACTCCCATTCTTCCACCCCCATCCTGATCTCTCATCTAGCTTTTGACAGCTGGCCTGGTGCTGAACCATTACAAACACCCTACCATCCCTGACTAGAAAAGCATCTTCTGCATGACTCACCTACTGAATATGCATCATGGAGGCAGAGCATCCCAGGCCACTTGGGTTCTGGAAAGAGAATTTCCACTTGAAAGGAAGTCAGCAGATACATGGTGCCTCCTTTTCACATGAGATTCACTCCCCTGACCTTGACTTTCAAGCTTAGGACTCCAAATTAGCCAAACCCTAGTTATGCCCAAACTCATCTATCTTGCAGGGAAAAAGAATAAGCAAGTCTCACATTCAGCTAACTATAATCTGTCCTTCTAGCCTGTTATGCCTGTGTCAGACAAAAGCAAAAATGTATGCCCCACACATGCTTCTACCCATTACTTCCCAATGTTACCTTCTGTGTGCCTGACTAACTTTTTGTGATGATAGAAATGCTCTGCATTTGTGTTGTCCAATGTGGTAACCACTAGCTGGGGTGCTATGAGCTTTTTGAAACAGCTTATGCAATCAGGAATTGAATTTTTTTTTTATTGGTTGTTCAAAACATTACAAAGCTCTTGACATATCATATTTCATACATTTGATTCAAGTGGGTTATGAACTCACATTTTTACCCCGTATACAGATTGCAGAATCACATCAGTTACACATCCACGTGGTTTTTACATATTGCCATACTAGTGACTGTTGTATTCTGCTATCTTTCCTATCCTCTACTATCCCCCCTCCCCTCCCTTCCCATCTTCTATCTCTACCCCATCTACTGTAATTCATTTCTCTCCCTTGATTTTTTTTCCCTTTCCCCTCACATCCTCTTATATGTAATTTTTATAACAATGAGGGTCTCCTTCCATTTCCATGCAATTTCCCTTCTCTCTCCCTTTCCCTCCCACCTCTCGTCCCTGTTTAATGTTAATCTTTTTCTCATGCTCTTCCTCCCTGCTCTGTGTTCAGTTGCTCTCCTTATATCAAAGAAGACATTTGGCATTTGTTTTTTAGGGATTGGCTAGCTTCACTTAGCATAATCTGCTCTAATGCCATCCATTTCCCTGCAAACGGAATTGAATTTTTTATTTTATTTTGTTTTAATTAATTCTAACTTTAATGGCTCTTTGTAGCTAGTGATTACCATGTTGGACAGCTTGGCTTTAAATTGTCTACCTTTCCCCTTTTTTTATTTGATGAGGCATTCTTGCTTTAAGATTGGGAAATAGGGCTGGGGATGTTAACTCAGTGCTAAAGTACTTGCCTAGCATGCTTGCAGCCCTGGATTTTATCCCCAGATTAATAATAATAAGATAGAAACTTTGTGTCAATGCTGGTCTCACCTGTGCAGTTCTCAGCTGAGTCTGAGGTAAGAAAAAAGTTCATATTCATTTCACACTCTCTTTCCCCTGTGACACCAAGGAAATCAGAGAACAATACAAGGCTGAGGGATGTGTCCTGCATGCTGGCTCTGTCCCTGATGCCTATGTTGATCATCAGTTGTTGATTCTCTTCCTCCATGCTTGCCTCTCTGGGCAGAGATGATCATCAGTTCCTGATGTCCACCTTATAACTTTGCCAAGCACATTCTTTGGGGGTAAAAGACTAACTAAGCTCAAGAAACCTGTCCCATATCTGAAGCATAAGAAAGGGAGCTGGATTTGTAGTAGAACACAGGGAATTTGACATCAAGAAAAATGACCTGGTAATGACAGTTGTGAGACAATAGAAATAGGAAGCCAAGGCTAAATAGTCTTTCCTTGTCCTTGTCCTCTTTCTCCTCCTCCTGCTGCTGATCCTCTTCCTTTAAAGAGTCAACAATAATCATGCTCCCTTCACTAATTCCAGGAGGGAAGAGAGATCCAAAAAACCTTACAGGCTCCATGAACAAGTCTCTTCTGAGGTCCAGTGAATGATCAATCCCACTGGCCCCTAGAAGACTGGGTCACTGGGAGGTGGTAAGAGAGGAAGGTTCAGTACCAGGCAGACACTGCTCCATTGCTCTGGAGGGGGGTGGGGAAGGCAAATCCTGGTCATCCCCTTAGTCTGTAGCCCTTTTGTATAAGTGTCTGGCAAGGGTGACGTGGAGCTGTTCCTAAGGGCACAGCTGCAGCAGTGGCCCGAGTGGAGGCAGGGCCCTGGGCAGTACTGCCTCCCAGATCCTCCCTTCAAGCTTCCCAGGAGTAAGGGACATGCAGCCCAAGGGTCTTTGCTTGGCCTGACCCCATCAAGGGGACTCTCTGTCCCCAGTAACAGCAGAGATGGCAGGTTTATCAAGCTTCTCTCTACCCAGCTGTGTCCTCACCCTTCTCTTCCTTCAGCTGTCTTCCAGTTATGCAGGTAAGGTTTGTTTATCCCTGCTGTGTGGAGACCCTAGGACAGAAAGGGTAGTTTCCCAGGGCTCACCTCCAATCATCTTCAAACAGCTATATGAGTTATCTTTCTAAAAACTTAGATCTACTAACACAGTTCTCCTCCAAAACCTCTGTGGCTCCTTTCAGAATAGAATCCAAACTTGGTGTGTGTGTGTGTATGTGTGTGTGTGTGTGTGTGTGTGTGTGTGTGTATGAATTTATACATGGCATGTTCACATGCACATGTGTGGTGCTGGAGATCGAAACTGGACCTCATACATGCTAGGCAAGTGCTCTACCACTGAGTTATACCCCTAGCCCAGGCTTTGATTTTTCACCTCTCAAATGGGGATAAAATTATAATTTCTTGCAGTTGCTGTTAATGTTAAATAAGATGAGATATGTAACATGCTTAGCAATGCCTGGAGTAAATTCCAATAAATGCTGAGTTATAACATATTGTTATATTTGAGAATTTGCCCTGCAGAATTAGGCACCAATAAGTTTTCATGGGGGAACTTTTTTATCCCATGTACAGGAGAAATAAAAGAAACAGAAGTAGTGCTTGCTTCAGCAGCACAGCACAGCAGCATGTATACCAAAATTGGAACAATTGAGATCAACATGGCTCCTGAGCAAGGTTGACATGCATGTTCGTGAAGCCTTTCATGTTTAAAACAAAAAGAAAAAAAAAAACAAACAAACAGAAGGACTAGGAGTGTAGTTCAGTGGTAGTGTAGCTATATAGCATGCTCCTGGGTTCAATTCCAAGCATCACAAAGAAAGAAAAAAATGCTGATTTATTTTTGTTTTTTCTCCTTCTTCTTCTTCTTCTCCTTCTCCTTCTTCTTCTTCCTCTTTTTTTTGTACTGGGGATTGAACTCAGGGGAACTCTGTCACATCCCTAGCACTATTTTGTATTTTATTTGGAGACAAGGTCTCACTGAGTTGCTTAGTGCCTCATCATTGCTGAGGCTGGCTTTGAATTTGTGATCCTCCTGACTCAGCCTCCCAAGCAGCTGGGATTATAGGCATGCAATACCACATCTAGCTAAAATGCTGATCTCTTGAAGTGAGGCTATAGCTCAGTGGCAAAGCACTTGCTTAGCATTCTTGAGGCCCAGGGTTTAATTTCCAATAACATAAAGAAAAGAAGACAGGGCTCCAACCTCAGGGAGACACCTGACTCACAGAGGAGGTCCAATCTAGATATTTGCAGGAGAAATCTTTTCAGATTTCTGAAACCAGAGCCCACCCCAGGATCTAAGGAAGAAACCAGGCTTATCTGGTAGCTCAGAGTCTAGCTTGGAAAACTTGTCTTCATAGGAAAAAGACTTGGTAGATATTAAGGGCAGGGACAAGATCTGGAATGTGGTTGAAGACACATTGAGTAAAGAAGAGTGAAGTAGAGCCACCCCTAGAAGATCTTAGAGTAGAATTTGGGGAACAGGGTGTGAACAAGGACAGAGTGCTGAGAAGTCATAGAGAGTGAGGAAAGCAAAACCTCTAGGGGAAAGGGGACCAGTGTAGCCAGGACAAAACGGGAGGTGCATGGGAGAACTAAACTTCAAGATACTGGACCACATTCCAAGGTAGAACCTAAAGGATTGGTGGGAATCAGAGATGGATGCTGCTGGCAAAAAATGTGGGCAGCAGCTGTCAAGATGATCACATACTAGAATATTCTGTACAAGACAATCAGGACATGACTAGAGACTGTTTTGGTATATGCTCAAAAGGAAAAAATGAATTCCTCACTGACTTTTGAATTTCACTTAACAGTTGAGTGTGTTCCTCCCTTTCTTGTTCGAAACAGCTCTTCTCATGTCAAGGGCCCCTCTGACCCTCAGTTTCTTCTCTTTGGTGTCTTGGACAGGACAGTTCAGAGTGATAGGCCCAGGGCACCCCATCCGGGCTCTAGTCGGGGATGAAGTGGAGCTGCCATGTCGCTTATCTCCTGGGAAGAATGCTACAGGCATGGAAGTGGGGTGGTACCGCCCCCCCTTCTCTAGGGTGGTCCATCTCTACAGAAATGGCAAGGACCAAGATGCTGAGCAGGCACCTGAATATCGGGGCCGGACAGAGCTGCTGAAAGAGACTATTGGTGAAGGAAAGGTGACTCTCAGGATCCGGAATGTAAGGTTCTCAGATGAAGGAGGTTTCACCTGTTTCTTCCGAGATCACTCTTACCAAGAAGAGGCAGCAATGGAATTGAAAGTGGAAGGTGAGTCATCCAATGAAATACCACATTCATACCCACCAAGGAATTCACTGTAATAGGATTTGATCAATTGTGACTCCCTAGGAATGATGTTTTTCTTTAGGACAAATAAAAGAACATCCCAAAGCAAAACAGAAAAGTTCCCCTAGGATACTTAGATACATTCATTCTATCTTAGGAAGGTTAACTTAAAGATTATTCATATTTCCCTCTAGTGATACAAAATCATCATAGATGGATTATTCTAGATTTTTGCTGCCTCCATTTCTCATCTTTTCTATTTTTCTTTTTTTCTTTAATTTTTTTTCTCAAAATGTACACATTATATAGACTTTTATATCAATGAATAAGAACAATCATATGGATAATTATGGGCTTTTCTTTTTTATTCTTTGGTTGGGTCACATTTCTATTCTCCCTCCTGGAGAGAAAGCTCTTCTACCATAGTAATTCATATTAACTTTCTTGTTGATATTCTTTCATATATATGAAAAATATGTATTTAATATAATATGTAATATTATATAATATGTATATATGTGTATATATGTGTGTGTATATAATGTATATATTCACAAACCCAAGGTCACAAGGTTTGTGTTTCCTACATTCTTTAACTTGCTTTTATCATGAAATGCCTCCAAGCCATATAGTATAGTTCTAAAAAATCTTTGTGTGTATGTGTATGTGTTTGTGTATGTGTGTGTTTCATTGGGTGAGAAACATTATTGAAAGCCATATTCCTAGTAAAACATAGTACAACTAAATGAACAAGCAAAGCAGATATCTGAAAATAATTACAGAAAGAGATACACCTGTAAGTTTTACCTTATTTGCTTCACTTCTGCAGAAATCCATTTTCAGTATGTTTTCTGTGATGGATGATTTTGGAGTTAGTTCATTCATTCATTCATTCCATCTTAGGAAGGTTAAAATGTGGCAAGGTGAAGTGGACAAAGGGGGAGCTTTGAAGATTAATGGCCATTTAATTGAAGAACAAAAATGTTCTGAGTTCCTGAGCCTCCAGTCCTTTCCCCTCCTCACCCTCCCTCTTCCCCCACCTGCAGTGCAAACATCAGACAATCCTTCACTTTTGTGTCTGGGCTGGGGGTGACTGTTGCAGTGTAGGAACCAGAAGATGGCATTGTGTGCTGAATAACAATGCACTATTTCTAGAAACGAACTGCAGGGACATGAAAATAGCTCTGTGTGTCACAGAATGTTCTTCAGACAGCTGTTTTTACTGGGGAATTTTTACCCACAAAGATGTCAAATAGGAAGGATTTCTGTGGTTATAGATTTTCTTTTTTTTTTTTTTTTTTTTTTTTTTTTTTTTTTTAAAAGAGGGAGAATTTATTTATTTATTGTAGTTCTCGGTGGACACAACATCTTTGTTGGTATGTGGTGCTGAGGATAGAACCCGGGCCGCACGCATGCCAGGCGAGCGCGCTACCGCTTGAGCCACAGCCACAGCCCTGGTTATAGATTTTCATCCTTCCTGTTCAACAGCTTACTACTTCTGCCTAGGAACTGCCTTCCCAACTCACTCCCTGAGGCCCACCTCACCAAAAGAGAAAGGGGAAAAAAAGAATTAAGAGAAAAATACCCTAAAGCTTTGCCTCAGGGGAGAAAGTTTTCCTTTGAGCTGGTTTCCGCATTCCAAACCCCTCCTCCATCTCTTGGTCTGCATACCTAAGAATCTGAAAACAGGATTGTTTTACAGCTAAGTCCACTTGACTACTCTGAGGAGCCCGGAAGTGAAACAAATATAGGAATGAATGCAGTAACCATGTTTTTTAAATACAGAAAACTCCTTCTCCAAAAAGTTTCCCATCTCTCTTTTTGACTTTTTTGATGTCATTTTACAGTCTCTAATCATTTCTTTAAACTCAATATGAAAACTTAAAAACACTTACAAAAGTATAGAGAATATCATAATGGACCTCCAAGAACTCTGCTCAGCAGTTATCAAACCAACTACAACTAGATTTACCTGATTCCTGTTCATTGCCACTCCCTAGCAACTTGCTGAAGCAAATCCCAAGCAGCATTATCATTTCATTGCTAAGTGCTTGAGAATGTATCACTCAAATATAAGAGCACTTTTTAAAAAAAGAAAACAACCACAATTCTATGATCATGTCTTTAAAAATCAACAAAAATTTCTTAGTGTCATCAAATAGTGTTCTATTGTTCAAGGTGTTCAAGGTTTCCTTTCATAAATGTATTCTTACAGTTGGTTTGTTTGAGTAAGATCCAAACAGACTTTCCACATTTGTATTTGCCTATAGGGTTTCCCATAGTCTGAATTTTGCTGACTACATTCCCACATTTCTGATTAACATGCCCTTTATTTCAGGTGAACTGAGAAATCTATGCAAGATCAGACTCAGGTTTGATTTATTTTGGCATATTTCATAGAGGCTGATAATGTCTGCTTTTATCTCTTTCTATGATTCTAATCTTTTGTGAAAGTATAAGAAGTATGCAAAAAAAGAAAGAAAGAAAGAAAAGTGTGCACAGTTAGCCTTCCATACCCATGAATTTCACTTCAGTGGATTGAATTACCTAGAATCAAAATTATTCAGAAAAAAAGCCAGACACACACTTGTGTGTGCAACTCAGAAGGCTGAGGAAGGAGAATTGCAAGTTCAAAGCCAGCCTTGGCAACTTGGTGAAACCCTGTCTAAAATACAAATAGAAAGGGCTAGACCCTGAGTTTCAGCACTATAAAAAAAAAAAAAGAAAGAAAGAAAGAAAGAAAGAAAGAAAAAAAGAAAAAAGAAAGAAAGAAAGAAAGAAAAAAAAGTTGAGGATGTAGCTCATTAGTGGATCTCCCCTGGGTTCAATCCACATACCATCATCATCATCATCATCATCATCATCATCATAATGGTGATGATGTCTGTATTGAGCATGTAGAATTCTTCTTGTAATTATTCCCTAAACAATACAGTAGAGCTATTTACATAGTATTTACATTGCATTAAGTATTATAAATAATCTAGAGATGACTTAAAGTATATGGTAATGCAAAAATACAAAATAAATAAAGTATATGGGAAGGGGCTAGGGTGTATCTTAGTAGTACAGCACTTAACTAGCATGCTTAAGGCCCTAGGTTTAACCCCAAGCATGGCCAAATAAATAAAGTATTTGGGAAAATGTACATAGGTTATATGCAAATACCATGCCATGTTATATAAGGGGTTTGAACATATGTAGACTTTGACCTCCAACAATCCCCTGTGAACTCCAAGGGATGGTTGAACCTGCTTAATTATATAGCTACAGGTAACTTTCAATAAGAACTTAAAAGTAGCTGGACTCGATGGCACACATCTGTTATCCTAGCAGCTCAGGAGGCTGAGAAAGGAGAATTGGAAGTTCAAAGACAGCCTCAGCAAAGGCAGGCGGCGGGCGGGCGAGGTGCTAAGCAACTCAGTGAGACCCTGCCTCTAAAGAAAATACAAAATACGGCTGGTGGCCGAGTGCCCCTGAGTTCAATCCCCATTACAAAAAAAAAAAAAGAAAGAAAAAAAATAAAACCTTAAAAGTAAAGTATGTGCTGCATTTTTTAAAATGGAGAATACAATAATAGACAAAAGTCTTGTTCTACGTCTTATTCCATTTCTTTTTCAAAGCTAAGCTCAGGTGTCAATTCTGTGTCACCTTCTTTGAATCCTGGTGATATTCTATTCATTTCTTTATTCAAAACAGCTAATGGATGCTGTGCTGGGAATTGAGGATACAGCCTGGGTGGTATCAATTGTTCCTTTCAGATCCCTTCTACTGGATCAACCCTGGAGTGCTGGTCCTCATTGCTGTGCTGCCTGTGCTCCTTCTGCAGATCACCGTGGGCCTCGTCTTCCTCTGCCTGCAACACAGATTGAGAGGTACAGGACAGAGGTTGGGCCCATCAATATCCTTCCCTGTCAGTAGCTAACCTCTTAGAGTTGGGTCAGTTAACATTTCCTTTTGAGAGACTTTCAAGATCAGAATTACACAATGATAAATTTTACGTCTAACTGAATGCTTTCACATGGTATAATAAGAGCTTGCATTTTCCTAGGAGGTGAATCTGACATGTAATGGCCTCATATACAAAGGAGGCAACTGAAGCCAAGAGAAGTTCAGTGACTTGCTCAAATTGACACAAGTTGTAAGTGGCAGAGCTCAAACTTCTGTACCATATCCAGTAGCTTCATGCATCAGGGAGAGTGAGCTTCAAAGTCAGGCAAGTCTAAGCTATTAGGAGTTTTAATGAAAATGAAAGTCCCTACCACAAAAGTATGTGTTCAAAACCAGTTTCCCTCCATCTTTTCCATTCAACCCCAAGGCCTTGGGTTCAGCTGTTACTGAGGCTCTTTTTTTTTGGCGGGGAGGCATACCAGGGATTGAACTCAGGGGCACTCGACCAGCTGTATTTTGTATTTTCTTTAGAGAAAGGGTCTCATTGAGTTGCTTAGCGCCTCACTGTTGCCAAGGCTGGCTTTGAACTCACTATTCTCCTGTCTCAGCCACCAAAGCCACTGGGATTATAGGGGTGTGCCACCACGCCTGGCTCAATGAGGTTCTTCTTTTGTGCCACCACTTCCATTCTGAGCCTTCTCCCCACTGCCAAAGTACAAGGACTTTGACCTATCACTCTCTCCTGCTACTAAGAGGATAAAGTAACAAGGAGGGTTTGGGTATACAAGGGAGAACAGGTATTAGTGGGATCTTGTGGGGTCTTTTCTGTCATCTTGAATTTATCTCAGATGCTCACTTCTCCCACCTGAAAAAACAAACAAACAAACAAACAAACAACAACAACAAAACCACCTTAATGGATCTTAGTGATTTGGAAGAATGAGAACGATGAAGTTGGGCAACTTGGGACTGGATTCTGTCTTAGGCACTGAACTATGACCAAAATTCTTCAGTTCTCCAAGCCCATTTCCTCATTTGTCAAGTAACCTTTCTCCCTCCTAAATTGTAGGGAGGATTAAAGGAGATAATGTTATGTAAAGTGCCCAATAAAGAACCAGTCACAAGGTAGCTGCTCACTAAAGATCTAGCTCCTCCCTTCCTCATTCAGATGGAAAGTGGGTTTAGTTTTACAAAATGACAACCCAGTGGGGTAGAGTGAAAGAACTACCAAAAAAGGAACAAAGAGCAGTGGGAGAGGTAATAAAGTCCTAGGATGATTTGGGGCCTTGCTGTTTACCGAGGTTCTTTTTTTGCCTGGCGGTGGGAAGTGTTGAACCCAGGAGCACTTTACCACAGAGCTTACACTCCCAGACTCCCGTGTTTTTGAGATGGAGTCTAGCTAAGGCTGGCCTCAAACTTGTAATTCGCCTGCTTCAGCCTTCTGAGTCATTGGTATTAAAGGCATACACCAGGGCTGGGGCCATGGCTCAGTGGTAGAGTGCTCGCCTAGCATGTGTGAGGCACTGGGTTTGATCCTCAGCACCACATAATAATAAAATAAAGATATCATGCCCACCTATAACTAAAAATATTTTAAAAAAAGGCATACACCACTGTGCCTGGCTTTACTGAGGTTTTTGAGAGCTTTGGAAGTTCTAGCGGGGAACATATATACTCATGTACCCTTGACCGAAGAACATTGGAGTTCTCCTCTTCAACTGAGGGTACAGCTTCTGGAGGAAAGGGACACCTGCCTAGCCAACGAGATCAGCTGAATCAACATTGGCAATCAACGGGTTGACAGATGTTTGCCCCTCACATCCTATTTACTGAAGTTCTGGACTAGAGAAGTCTTTTGCATTGTTTCACTATTCAATCCAGACAATAGCCAGGGACAGAGCCAAACCCTTGGTTTCAAATCTAGACCTTTTCCTGCTCTCCTGCAGACACTCTTAGGCTGTAGAGAAATAGCCTGCGCAAAGGGCTACGGCACTGGGCACTGGGTATGGACAGACTCCTATCTAGTGCCAGAGCAGGAACTAAAAATGTTGCCTTTTTCTGTTTTAGGAAAACTCCGAGCAGAAATAGGTAAGTTCCAGCTACCCTCCCTCTTCAATTGGGAAATTCACTATTTATAAAACAATAACCAGCCTCGAATTGTAGAGGGTCTTCCTCTCCGAACCTTTAGCCAGAGCAGAAGTAAAATCCTATAGCTTCCCTTCCTCTCCTGGGTCAGGACTAGAACAAATTTTAAGTGATTAAATAACAGACTCAAGAGAAGAAAAGATGCTCTTAGATGGCCCTATTAAATCCATTGTTATTTGTTCTTCTTTCAGAGAATCTTCACCGGACCTTCGGTAAGTACAGGTATATCACGGTAAGTCAGGTGTCTCAGGGCCCTCCCGGGTCAACTTGGTTTTTCAACCAGGTTCCAGTCACCTGGAGGAAAAAGAACCTTTGGTTTCTGATGGTTATTCTCCCTCTTTTTTCTATCTTTAAATATGTCATCATTTGCATCTAGGATTGGTTAAAATAGCAAATACTATTATACCATGTGCCAGGTACTATACCAACAGCTTTACAAAATTTAAAAAAATTTTTTAATATTTAGTTATACATGACAGTAGAATGTATTTTGGCAGAATATACATACATAAAATATAACGTATTCTGTTTATATTCCCACTCTTGTACTCATACATGATGTGTCGTGTATACAAATACAGGGCTAGGAAAGTTATGTCCAATTAATTCTACTGTCTTTTCTATTCCTTTACAAATGTAAAGTGTTAAATCCTTACACATTTTTCTTTTAGGAATTACAAAAGGAAGATAAACACAAACTTTGTGTATAGTTGGAGAGGTGAAACATACTTGAAATAACAGAACAAAACAAAACACACATATCTACTGTACTTACATGGCAGAGTGAATTTTCATAAGTGTAGACCAAGTAACCATACTCAACTAATCAGGGAAGGTTTTTTGGAGCAGTAATGCCACAAGCCCCAAGAGAAAGTTGATCCCTTGAGGATATGGTCTCTGTCTTTTTCATTTACTATAGATTGTTCTGTGCCTAAGGACAATGCCAACAGAAGAGCATCCAATATTTGTGCTGAAAAGAATGAATTTCATAGAAATTAGAAGATGGCATTAGGCAGAGCACAGGCATTCACTATGCTGAGTAGCCTTTCCTGCTGCCTCATACACATGTAAGAGCAAGAGGATCTTTATTTTGTAGGATTTTGAACTCTTTTTGTACCATGAAAGGATCCCTTCTTCTTCTTCTTCTTCTTCTTTTTTTTTTTTTTTTGTTGAGAATTAAACCCAGGGCCTTGCACTTGCTAAAACAAATGCTCTACCACCAAGTCACATTCCCATCCCCAGAAAGTTTTTAAATGTACACGTTACACATAGGATTACAAACAAAATCTGTGTTGGAATACAGCTATCAACACATAAACAAACTGATATATTAACAAATAACAAAAGTAACACATAAATACAGAAGCAGCAACTCTCAACATAAACAGCACCTGGAGATTTTTGTAACAACTCCAATGGGATGGAAAACATCTGTGATTTCCGGTGGCAATGAAAGTACAGGTACTGCTGATACTGTGATGTGAATAAAGACGTGGTGCTTCTCATCCAAGTTCATGGACTCCCTGGACTCTATCCTGAGTCCTTTGGTGTTCTTGGACCAGAAGCCTCAAAAGGAGAAGAGTAGGTGAATATGAGAGGAAATACATATTAACCCTGTTTGTTTGATGAACAATTCAGATCGCCACTTTCTGAGGGTGCCCTGCTGGAAGATAACCCTGTTTGTAATTGTACCAGTTCTTGGACCCCTGGTTGCCTTGATCATCTGCTACAACTGGTTACATCGAAGACTGGCAGGTGAGGTAGTGGGGAGGAGACAGTAAATAGAATCACTAAGCAGTGGGGGACCCAGGCAGCCCTGACTGGGAAACAGTGCAACCAGAACCCTGGAATTCCTCTTCTGTCCTCATGCCCATTGGCAGGCTCCTCAGAGGAGTTGCTAGGAGATTTGCTTACGAAATCTGTGGGGCCCCCTCAATGGAAAGGGAAGGGTCATGTTGAGTGTCCACAGGGAGGATGTGAGAGCGGGTAGCCATCTTCCATTGATCATCTATTTATTTCTCTTGTTTGCAGGGCAGTTTCTTGAGGAACTAAGTAAGTTCTCTTCTCTTTTTTATAAACTGAGAACAAAAAGCCAGGAAAGGGAAACTGAAGCTACAAAGAAGGGGTTACTGAAGATGCCCAATCCCAGGACAGGAGGGGCTGGAAAGCATGGTGGAGGAGGACTCACCCTGTGAGGGAGAGGGAAGAAGGCAGTTGTCAGATTCAAGTTTACAGGTGGCAGAGAGGGAAGCTGGGCTGCTCCCATCTACTGTCTCATCTGCTCTACCCGAAGTGCCCTCCAGTAGGAATCTCCCCTCCCATTCTCAACAGCAGCTGCCCAGTGCTTCACCTCCGAGACCAACTACCAAGGCAGCCACAGAAATAAGATGTCCTCAGGGGTCTTTTCATTTCCCAGATTCAGGGGTTTCATGATAGAAACTTCTGACATTGATTTTTCAAGTTATTTTCTCCTTCTTCTAGGAAATCCCTTCTGAGTGCCGTGGCATTTTGACGAGGTTGGAGGCGAGCCTGGTGGGTCCAGAGACTGATCCTTGGGGATGTCTCATCCATCAAGTTGCACACTCACTGGCCACTTCTAGAAACATTCTGAATTCAAAATAGAACTGATTTCCCTTCTGTCATCTACCTTTTCTCTTCCTTTCCTCAGCTCCTTCCTTTGCCATTTTTTTGCTTCCCATGTTTCTCCTCCTCTCCATCTTTCACTAGGAAGCCCTCTCTGGCTAAAGCCAGGTGGGTCTCTTTTCTTCATCAGAGGACACCTGTGCTGGAGAGTAACACAGACAGGAGGAGTTCTCCCACAAACAAGACCAAGATCCTCCTCACTGCCAATTACAGAACATCTAATTTGCAAATGGTGGTTGTTTCTTCCAAGACTGAGCCCTTATTGAGCAGAGCTGAGAGGGTAGAAGGGAAGGAATAGGAAGAGTCCAAAATATCAAAGAGGGAGCTGAATGAGCTGCAGAGTGAGGATGTAGGGAGCCCTAACCAAGACCTGGAAGTGGGAGAGAACATAGAATCCCGGCCAGAACTCCATCTCGTCTATGCAGCCTATGGAGGGCCACAGGAAGCAATGCATGGGAACTGAGCAGCACATCCACTTTAGAATGGTTTCCCTTCTATTTCCACAACTTCTCTGCATCCCTCACACTTTCTCTCCTCTAATCCCTTTCTCCCATCTTCATACCTATCACAGTAGACATTGTTTTATTCAACAAATACTACGTGATGATCTATCAGACACAAAGAAACAAGTTAGGTGCTAATTAATGAGTTTCTATATGCACACATCCTTTCCCTTTTCTTTTTTATTTTATTCATCATCCATTCACCTCTCTCCCCCTACTCAAGCCTCCTGACCCTGGAGGTCAGTCCTCAGGAAAACCAAACACAAAGACCTCTGTTGCAAAGGTCATTTATTTATGTTTTGAGATCCTCACTGCCTCCTTCGCCTGGTCTCCTTTGCATGCCTTCTCCCATACTGTATCTCTCCTGGGGATATGGATTCCTGAAGATCTATTTCCTCCATGTCTCTAATCCTTCCCAGTCGCGGGGAATCATGAAAGCAGCCAAGGCTCTGGCCCAGGATTACCCAGCATATATGGGGACTGCCTAGGTACTGTTCCTTGCCTTTATAGCTCCTCCAGTGATTCAGAAGGTCTTCTTTCTCCCCAAAGCAGAGGTCACAGATGGGGCATCGGTAGATCTTTTGTTTCCAGTGAGTCTGCTGGTGCTTGGAGAGCCAGAAGGATGAGCTGAAGGACTTGCCACAATAGAAGCAGCAGGTAGGCTGCTCTGTGAGGTGAACCTTCTGGTGACTGGAGAGAGAGGCTTTGTTGGTAAAAGTCAAGGGACAATGTGGGCAAGAGAAGACCTTGAATCTTGAGGGTTGCACTGTAATAGAGTTGGATCTGGTATTCCGGTAGGAGGATCTACTGTCTGGTGCTTGTGTCCTGGTCACAGAATTCTTAGTTTTAAATCTGGGTTCCTGGATCCTAGCCATTGGTGCCTGGTTCACAAGTCCCTGGATGGACTTCTGTCTTGTGACAATGGACTCCCGCAATCCAGCTGTGGTGCCTGAAATCCTCACAATATGCTTCTGGTTTCCAGCCACTGGCTCCTGGTTTTTGTGTATCTTCTGATGGCGTTTGAGCTCAGATCTGTCCCGGAAGCACTTCCCACACACAGAGCACGAGTGGGGCCGGTAATTCAAATGAACACGGCGGTGCCGACTCAGTCCAGAAGCGTCACAGTAGGTCTTATCACAGAGTAAGCAACGGAAGGGCCTCTCTCCATGATGTCTGCGCCTGTGGTGGCTGAGGGCCTTGCGGCTCCAGAACAACTTTCCACACCGGTTACAGATGTTAGTCTGCTTAGGGTTGTGAACAAACTGATGACTGGAGAGATGGCTGTGGAGGTGGGAGCTCTTTCTGAAACACCTGCCACAGGTGTTGCAGAGAAAGGGTGGCCCAGGTTGGGATGTTCGGAACACTGAGATCCTGCCAGAAGGTGGTCTCTGGCTTGTCCCTCTGTGAATAAGGGAGACTTTCTTGTCATCACTAGTCCCCTCATTTCTCAGATTCTGACCTGGCTCTTGAAGTTCTTCTTTCTTGTCTCCTGTAGCAAATGAGGAAGTATCAATGACACAAGATTCACAAGGCAAAGGCCAGTACAACCTCTCCCTCCAGTGTGAGCCACTTCCCCTTCTGCCATCACTTTCCCACCTGCACATTTACCCTCACCCTTAAACTTCATAGGATGGAGACAAGAATAACTTTAGGCTTTTCAAATTATAAGCAAATAGGGCTGCGGCTGAGGCTCAGTGGCAGAGCGCTTGCCTAGCATGTTTGAAGCACCGAGTTCAATTCTTAGCACTGCCTAAAAAACTAAACAAATAAAGGCATGCTGTCCATCCACAACTATAAAAAAAAATTATAAGCAAATAAAAGTTTAACTGGAATCTTCCAACAATGTCAGAGATCTATATTTTAACTTATGGCCACATTTCTTGAAATTTATTTTCCCATTCCAATATTGTCCACACTCCCACAGACACTCACTCCACAGATATCCACAAATGACCACACAATGTATAGTAATCTACCATATTTGTGACTTTAAATTTCATGGTTTCAGTTATCCACAATCAACCACAGTCTAAAAATATTACATGGAAAATTCCAGAATTTGAGAGAGAAAAAAGACCATATTCACAGAACTTTTTTTATAAGTGTTCTATTTTATTATTATTGTTTAATGCCGTACTGTTCCTAATTTATAAATTAAATTTAGCTGGGCAAGGACTGGGAATGTAGCTCAGCAGTAAAGTGTCCCTGGTACCATTACTGAAAATTGAACCCAGAGATGCTCTGTCACTGAGCCACATCTCCAGCCCTTTTTATTTTTTTATCTGGAGACAGAGTCTTGCTAAATTGCCTAGGCTGGCCTCAAACTTGCAATCCTTCTGTCTTAACCTCCTAAGTAGGTGGGATTATGGGCCAATTCCACTGTGCCTGGTATCCACAGGGGGTTTTGGAAGACTTCTCTGTGGATAAGGGAGCACTCTATCCCCAGTCCAAGGAGGACTACTATATCATGCAAATTGGAACATTTGAGAATAAAGATATGTTATTACTAATTAAACTGGAAACCAGGCATGGTTGTGTAGGCCTGTAATCTCAGTTACTTTGGAAGCTGAGGCAGAAGAATGGCAAGTTAGAGGCCAACTTCAGCAACTTAGGGAGACCCAAATAAAAAACAAAAAGGACTGGAGTTGTAGATCAGTGGTAGAGAGCCCCCTGGGTTCAGTCCCTAGTGCTCCTTAATTAATCAATCAATTAATTAAGTGTCATAGGAATAAAAAGGGATAGGGACATAGCTCAGTAGTGGAGGTTTGCCTAGCATGCAAGGAGCCCAGAGTTCAATCCCCAGTACCGCCAAAAAAAAAAAAAAAAATCTATCAAGTTGGCATAAGAAGTATAAACGAGGACAGGTCTAGCAAATTGGGAGATGTAATCAGTCTGGCTTGATATCTTCTTACTCCTTATTCTACTCCCAGGAATAAGTCTTCCCTTCTCCAATCCACCCTCAACTTTTCTATCCTGCTTCTATTTTCTTTTGGAAAGAAATTTTCATCATAGGGGTATTAGCTGACAAAGCTACTCAGATAAGACATCATTTGTCCTGAAAGGCTTAGACATTCATCACCAAGTCAAGGATTCAGCCTTTCATCTCCAGGTCTCTTTTAGCTCCAAGCCTAACCAGGCTGGAAAAATGGATGATAGGAGAGAACACAGAGAACCTTTATTCTCTCAGTGAGCTCTCCACCCTTCCAGGGATTGCCTTGGGCCCTTTTGATTTTGTCTCCTTTGCAACTCTTACCTGAAGGGAGGCCTTCTCTGTTTGGCTGATGGAGATCTGCTTTCTTCTGTCTCTCTTCTTTCTCAAGCTTGGTGACCACATCTGATTTAGGCAGAAATATTCCTCCTGGTAAGTGGTAATGAAAGAAAGAGTAAAGCTGGGACCAGGCTTGGACCCTTCACATCTGTTGAGGTAAACAGGTTACTTTTTATATGCTTGTTTTAAGAACCTTAATCTGGAGGGCTCTGTACTTGATGAACAGAATGTGACAGAACTTATGATGTGCCAACTTGCAAGCTCAGGCCTTAGTAGATCAGTAGCTACCACATCCTGTCCTTTGAAACATCCTCTCATCCAGGAACCATGGCTCACCCCTGTGATTCCAGAGACTCAGCAGTCTGAGGCAGGAGGATTGCAAGTTCAAAGCTAACCTTAGCAATTTAGTGAGGCCGTCAGTAACTTTGCAAGACCCTGTCTCAAAATAAAAAATAAAACGGGCTGGAGGTGTGACTAAGTGGTAAAGCACCCGTGAATTAAATCCCCAGAATAACAAAAACAACAACAAAAAAACCCCTCTTGCAACCCAGCTTCCATGCTAGAAGGGAGCTCAAGCAGCCCTATGGAAAATTCTATAGGAAGAGGAACTCGGGTTCCTGTCCAAGCTTCCAGTCAAAAGCTACTGTGAATTTATCAGCCACATGAATAATCCATCATCAAAATGGATCCTCTAGCCCCAATAGCCACTCCAGCCATCACCATATTAAACCAAAACAAGATTTCCTTATTGAGCCCTGCCCAGACTATAGATCTGTGAGTCAAATAAACAATTATGATTTAAGTCCTTAAAAAACAAATTTAATCTGTACACTTAGATGCAGAAACACATTGCAAAAGGCCAGATTCTAAGTGCCTGGCACATGAGTGAAATAATAAATATAGGTTGGACGAATAGACAAATTTGCATATTCAGAGAACTCTGTCATCATGTTACAAGTGTTATGTCTGCCTTTATGCAGATTTTCATTTCTTTTCCTTTTACCCCCGAGCTTAGTGACCCATATTTTCCACATCTGGAAGGCACAGAACTAGTTCAGTGAAGCTAACTGTGCCCAGGTAATGACTCAGGACCCCACCTCTTACCCACAGACTCCAGGTTTTTGCAGGTTTCTGACATAACAACCTGGTAAAGAGCTCTCTGACTGGCATCTAGACATTCCCACTCTTCCCAGGTGAAATTCACTGCCACATCCTCAAAGGTGACAGGCATCTGGAAGAGTAGAACAGATTCAGAGTGTGTATATACATGACACTCAAGATTCAAAGAACTGAGCCAGGCATGCCTATAATCCCAGTGGCTCAGGAGGCCAAGACAGGAGAATCACAAGTTCAAAGCCAGCCTCAGCAATGGTGAGGCACTAAGCAACTCAGTGAGACCCTGTCTCTAAATAAAATACAAAATAGGGCTGGGGATGGGGCTCAGTGGTTGAATACCCCTGAGTTCAATCCCTGATACCCCCTCCCCTACCCAAAAAAAGATTCAGAGAACTAAAACCTAAGAGAAAAATAAAACCATGGAAGGAAGAGAGAAATTTTAAAAAGACAGGTACTAAGCCAGCAACTGTGACCTACAGAAAGGAAAGGAAAGATGCAGAAAAATGAAAAGAAGATGTGGTGGGAAAGGGAGTGGGATGTGCAGAATATGACTAGAAAAGAAAAGCAAAGACCCACAGGCAGGAGAATAGATGAAAGAGCTCCTGGAGACTAGGACCTGGTCCCTCCCTCTTTCTAGCTAGTTCTCCTTACTTTCAACCACAGTCTCTCTTCTTGGCTTCCTGAAAGGATGTTGCCACCCCACCCACCTAAGAGTGCCGTACCTTCTCTTCTGTGGTGTCTCTTTCTAGCTTTATCCACTCCTGACCTAGCCCCCAAGGAAGACTGTACTCCTTCTTAGAGCTCTCTACCTCCCCAAAACTGGGCAGATGGAGAGGCCCTGCAAAGTCTGGAGGGTTTGATATGGCTTCCCGTGACAAGCACTTCTGCTTCAAGGGACTGTCTTCTTTCTTTGTTGTGCCGTCCAAAGTCTCCTCTTTTACCATTGAGAACACCTTTGGTTCCCTCAAAGTCTGGGCTGCAGAATTCAGGGACCTGGTCATCCTTCGCTCAGCTGCCATTGTCCAGTAATGCCAGGCTGAAGGCAGGTGTCTACCTTCTGTTTCAGCCTGCTTTATGGAATTGGCTGGTGCCTACCTCTAGGAACCTGAGGTCAGAGAGAAACAAAACATATGAGGAAGAAGGAGAGTAAGAAACAACTCCTGGGGCTGGGGATGTGGCTCAAGCGGTAGCGCGCTCGCCTGGCATGCGTGCGGCCCGGGTTCGATCCTCAGCACCACATACAATCGAAGATGTTGTGTCCGCCGAGAACTAAGAAATAATAAATAAATATTAAAAATTCTCTCTCTCTCTCTCTCAAAAAAAAAAAAAAAAGAAACAACTCCTTATTTGGTCAGTGAACACCAAGAGTTATTAACCCTCTACTCTGTATCACTGAAACCTCTTAGCAATGCCCATTGAGGTAACAATTATTGGCACCATCTTAAAGTATGCAAATATAGAAATGCTGAGTAACTTGGAGAAGATACTCTTGATCCATGGGAAAGTTAATTGTTGAAACCCTACTCAGTACCACTGAAAAGCATATATCTAGGGCATCCAGATCTGAATCTTCTGAATCTGTCATAAACCACCTCGAATGAGTCTCTTCATTTTCTCTGACTTGGTTTCATTGGAAATGTGAAAATAAAGAAGACATTCTCTAAGATCTCTTCCAGAGATAAATACACACACACACACACACACACACATATATATATATTTTAAATGATTCTTTGACCTAGATTTTCTTCTTCTCCTTCTCCTGGTGCTGGGTCTCAGGCCTAGGGTTTTGCATGTTAAGCAAACACTAAGCTACAACCGAAGCCTGTGATAAGTCTTAAATCAGAAACGCATTTAATGTACCTAACCTACAGAACACCTTGGCTTAGCAACAAAGCACACTGCAGAGTATCAGTTGTTTCCTCTCCTTATCATGTGCCTAACAAGAAGCTGAAGCTCAATGACACTACACAGCTTCAGGACAATATCAGAGGCAGGGCACAGTGGTGCATGTCTGTAATCCCATGGCTCTAGAGGCTAAAGCAGGAGGATCAAAAGTTCAAAGCCAGCCTTAACAGCTTAGTGAGGCCCTAAGTAATTTAGCAAGCAAGACCCTATCTCTAAATAAAATATAAAAAAAGGTTCGGGCATGTGGCTCAGTAGTTGAGTCCCCCCTGGGTTCAATCCCTGGTACCAAAAGAGAGAGAGAGAGAGAGAGAGAGAGGAGAGAATATCAGAGTATTATATGTATATCACTAGCCTGGGAAAAAGATCCAAATTCAAAATCCAAAGTACAATCTCAACTGAATGGGTAAGGCTTTCCTAACACTGCAAAGTCAAAATACATTAGTTAAACAATCATGTCATTGTGAGCCAGAGAGCATCTAAACAGCACAATGCTTGTAAAGAATAATACTGACAACAACACAACAGCTCTCACTTATTCAGGAGTCACAATGTGCCAAGCACTGTAGCTCCCTGCTCACTTCAAAGAGTTCTTGCTCTGATGCAAACATGCTAGAACACCAGTTCCTGCTAACAACCACTCACCCACATCTTCCCTCCCTTCAGATGCTAAGAAAAGTATATTAAACTGTTGACTTTTTTTTCTCCTTTCATTTTTTGGAAGGGTAATGAAAGTAATAAATGCCAGCAAGGAAAATGACATTTGAGTAAAAGTGAATTGGGTACCTCCAAAGATGTGATGATAACTGCAGTCCTAGAATCTGAAGTTACTTTCTTCTTCTTTCCTCTCTCCTCTCTCCCTTTTCCTTTCAAGGCTATTCATGAGGGGGGGGAAAAAAAAGGACTATTTATTGGTGAAGGCATTCCTGCACTCTCTGTCTGACAGGGTCACAGCATGGGGGATGCTGCCACAGGTCTGCAAGGCAGGAACAACCTACAAGGCAGTACCGCACAGCACCACCATACCAGCATACCACCGCACCAAATCAGAACCATTAGGAATGTTAAGTGTTTTGTTTATAATATTCATGATATGGATTATTAACAGGGCATATTGCCTGAGGTCGCAGGAAAATTCCCAGAATGAGACTAAGGATACAATTGAGATATGCCATGAGGTGTATTTCAATGTCTCTCAAGATACAAACAATAGTGTTATTCCTCAAGCCTGAACAACAAGAAATATTTATCCCATGGTTAATCATTTACACACTAGCCCACCCCCCCAACCCCATCCTGAAGCCACAACCTGTACAACAGCCTCGCTACAGAAAAACAATTGCTGCGCCAACAGTACAAGGACCACAGTATGTAGCTTATGGTATCCCCTCGAGGACAAGAGGCTAATAAAAATACATTCCCCAACCAATAGACCCTCCTTTGCTTTACACAGAAACTTATGATGAAAATGGAAAACACACTGTTAATATAAATGACATAGGAGTTGAGGTGTAAAGCCTGCCCTTTAAAGATTACAAAGACATAAGAATTGGTGTGCTTTGACCAAGGATCAAGGAAGTTCTTTAAGAAAGCAGTTGAATAGGTCATAAGAAAAAAGGAAATTATCTTAGAAATTAAAAATAGAATAATATAAAATTAACATAGATATATTTTAGTTTAGAAGAAAGCTTACCAATAATCATAAGTATGCTTTAAAGTTAAAAGTTAATGAAATAATTATAGGTATGCTTGAAAGTTAGAAGTGAATAATAGGTCAGGAGTCATGTAGTCTAGTTGCTGTCGCCTAGCACCTAGTGATTGACATGAAAACGTAAAAGCTTAATCATGATTGTCTAGGGTTACAGAAAAATAATGAACAATGTACTCAATATCTTAGGTAATCAATGTATGTCAGAAAAGATTGTAACTCCTGAAAATTATGTAAATAAAAAAAGTTTCGGGCTTTAAAGCTATCCATCAACTACCTGAAAAACACACCTGTAAAAAAGGTATAAAAATAAAGGTCCCTCCAGGGGTAGAGAGAGATGTCTTCTGGAAGTTGCTCATAACTTGCAACCTTTCGTCCTGACTCTTCTTCTTTCGCCCACGCCACTCCTCCTTCAGGACCACCCTGGACCTCAGCAATTTATGATCAGCTGGGTGTGGTAATGCAGGCCAGAAATCCCAGCGATTTAGAAAGCTGAGGCAGGAGGATTCCAAGTTCAAGGCCAGACTAGCAAGACCTTGTCTCAAAAAACAAAAAGCGCTGGGATGTAGCTCAGTGATAGAGTGTCCCTGGGTTCTGGGTTCAAGAACCAGTATCAGGGGAGATAACAAGACTATTCATGGCCATTTTTATGAAGTAAAGAGATCTATTTTCCAGCCAATTGCACTTTAAACGGCCTCAATGATAATGTCCTTAAAGACTTGCCTTTCCACTCGCCAGCATGGAAGAACTCTGCTGTCATCAGTACTTAAGATGGCTTTTGATGAGAGTGGCAGGAAGAGGTCCTTGATCAGGATTCTATCTTCTGTCAGGGTTGTCTCTCTGGCGGCCTACGCGAGTACTTTCTTTGTCCATAGGACCCCGGAACTCAACAGGGGTCTGGAGTGGAAGGAAGCTAGATATGACTCACCAGACTTTTGGCTATTAAGGGGCCGGAAGTCACAGCAGGCTTACACGTACCGGCCAGTCCCCACCCTTCCAGAAAGCAATTCCTGTTGGAATGTGTCGCCATTTTCCAGTCCTGAACCAAATCAGTCTTTCTCCAAACCAAAACCCTATCATAATTTCCCACAGGAAATTCTCAAAATGCCCCTTAAATCCCCAACACACCCTCAAGGCTTTGTGGGATGTGCCCTCGAGGTCCCAAACCCGGGTATTCAGCCTCGTGAATATTCTGCCCTTCAGCGAACAGCCCAACACTCGTCCCTCTAACGTGGCCTTTGGGTCGCTGCTCAGGCCTCCCAAGGATACTGTCCAGTCACTGTGCCTCCCAGGCCGGTCAGATCACGGCTCCTGGTGGCTGCTTGGGGCCCCGACTATTCACTCACAGCGTTACATAGCGCTCCGGTGGGAGCCCGGCTGTTCTGCTCACCACTGCGGCGCACAGCAGGGGCTAACACTCACCGAACCAGCTTCGGTGCTCTGAAATAGACTCACTGACTTGGACGGCACTGTCCTGAAACCCTCTTTTCTGGCATCACAACTCAACACGTGCCAGGACCCTTTCCTTGGCGCAAGCCCCCAAGGTGGCGGGAGTGGACACTGCACCAAGCCACACACACCTGGCTAAGTCTGGGATCCCACAAGTTGGAAGTTTCCCCAAGATTAGGGCCTCACCCTGCCGAGGTGAAGGATGGAGCAATACCGGACAAATACCCTCCATCAGATTCCACCGCAAGGAGCGCCACTCTTTGCTGCCTTACTCACCAGTCTAGCCCCGATCTGATTTCCGCGCGTAACGTCTTTGTAGCGGGTGGCTGGAGCACTCCGCCCGGGCACAAAGTCCAGAGCGCTCGCAACCCCGCCCAAATCCCGCCTGCTTCCGCTGGTTAGCAGTGCGCAAGCCACCTCCTACGTAGCCAAGTGACCCAGCACAGTCGGTGGTCTAGCCAAGGTCAGGAGTTTGCATCCCAATTTTAACGCAGAGAGAGCACTGCCTTGCCCTACCAACTCGCTCCACCTACCAATTGATAGCCACTGGTCCCACTTCATGCTAGGATTTCCCCTTTACTCTTGGAAAAAATATGGACCAAATTACCTCGATTAAAATCACAAAACCACTAAAAATTTGGGGAGGAGGGTTGACTTGGTGAGGGAAAATGAAAATTTTACAGCCCCTCAAGCACACAGCATCTTAGAAAAGTAAAAGTTAAGGAGTGAAATCAATGAGACTTGATTGATCCCCAGACACTAGATAAAGGCGGGGAGAACCATGGACCGCGTCAAGATCAAGTCCTAGAGCCAGCGCATTGGCGCACGCCTGTAATCCCAGGGGCTCAGGAGGCTGAGACTAGAAGATCCGGAGTTCAAAGTCAGCCTCAGCCACAGCAAGGCGCTGAGCAACTCAGCGAGACCATCTCTAAATAAAATGCAAAATAGGGCTAGCGATGTAGCCCAGTGGTTGAGTGTCCCCGAGTTCAATTTCCAATACCCCTCTCCCCCCCAAAATAATCAAGTTCTAGTAGTTACTACTCCTCATTTACGGGAACCCAGTTCTCTGTGATCTTTTATTTTATTTTAAAAAATCTCTTTGGGGCTGGGGATGTAGCTCAAGCGGTAGCACACTCCCCTGGCATGCGCAGGGCGCTGGGTTCCATCCTCAGCACCACATAAAAATAAAATAAAAAGATGTTGTGTCCACCGAAAAACTAAAAAAATAAGTATTAAAAAATTCTCTCTCTCTCTAAAAAAAAATCTCTTAATCAGCTCAACTGAAACCACAATTTCCTTTCATTAGCATTTTAATTATAATCTCATCTCGCTTTGTATTAATGATTGTTATATTTTACATTAATATGAAGTTTTACAATTTACACAACCAAAATTTTTGTAAACGAATACTCCTTGAATTCTCACAACTTCTGGGATGTAGGCATTACTATTATTATGCTTTTTGTTTTGTGGGGTTTTTTTTTTTTTTGTAAGTAAGGAAACAGATCCAGAAATGTTGAGCTTAGTGAAAGACCATGACCCACACTGCACCAGGACTTGAAACCAGACTCTGCTTTCAAACCTCCACTCTGATGTCTTGGCACCATGGGAAAGCACTGGGTGGCTGGCAAGTGCAGGTTTTGAACCTCCATGTTCTCAGGTATGTGACACAGTGTTCTGTCCATAGTGCTTCAGGCAGACAGTGGATATCTGTGATCTCAGGCAGCATCAGAGCAAAATAGTTGGCTGGGAGGGAAAGTTGTGGAAAGCACAATGAAGCATGTAGATTACCATTATCTTTAGACCCACAAGAAAACAGGGTGGTAGTGGAAGCAGAAAAAAATGCTTTCCATTAAAAATAAATGCTTTCCATTACGGAAAACTAGACCAGCCTTTCAATAACAATCGGCACCCATTTTTGCCCTTGCATCACCCTAATCCTACCCTGATTCCAAAGCACTGTATTTACAAACCTGAGCTGCCAGCCCCTGGACTATAATTAACTGATTCAATTTAATCCTTAATTCTTGAGAATCAGCAAGGAAGTAAGCAATGTAGGGATCCAGCTTGTCATGATGAAAGCTATCATGGTTGTAATCACTATTTTGCCCACTGGGTGGCTATGGCACATGTTCCAAACCCTATAGGATAGTCAAACCCTATAAGATAGCCAAGAATTTCTTGATGGTTACTGGCACCTGGACAGTTTCCTAACTGACATTGGACATGTGAATATCTGTCTGTCTGTCTGTATATATGTATGTCTCTCTCTCTATCCATCTATGGTATGGGAAATTGAACCCAGTGGCCCTCTACTATTGAGCTATGTCCCAAGCCCTTTATTTTTTGAGACAGGGTCTCCAACAACCGCCTGGGCTTACCTAAAATTTGTAATCCTCCTGCCTCAGCCTTGCAAGTTGCAGGATTACAGGCATGCATCACCACACTCCTGACATCCTTTTACTACAGGATTTTTTTGGGGTGGGATTTTGTTGTTGTTATTTTGGAACTGGGGATTCAACCCAGGGGCACTTAACGACTGAGTCACATCCCCAGCCCTTTTGATCTTTTATTCTGAGACAGAGTCTCACTAAATTGCTTATGGCCTTGATAAATTGCTGAGACTCGCTTTGAACTTGTGATCTCTGCCTTGGCCACCCAAGTACTAGAGGTGCTCTACTACTGAGCTACATCCCCAGATCTTTTTATTTTTCATTTTGAGACAGGTGGACATATATACATATAAAATATGTAAATATATAAAATATATAAATATATTACAGGCACATGCCTGTAATCCCAGCAATTTGGGAGGCTGAGGCAGGAAGATTGCAAGTTCAAAGCCAGCCTCAGCAAAAGCAAGGTGCTAAGCAATTCAGTGAGACCCTGTCTCTAAATAGAATACAAAAAAATAGAATGTGGCTCAGTGGTTGAGTGACCCTGAGTTCAGTCCCCAGTACCTTAAAAAAAAGAATGTTGGTAACTTGACCAAAGAGATGAACTATCAGGACAGAAAGATCTCTCTAGATCTCTACTCCTATCCAATGATGCATAGTAGATGGTGACTGACTTCAGTGGCTAAAACCATGATGACATACTTGTCCACCAACCTGTGTTGATTCTAATCACAACTTCCTTTTGCCTTAATTTCTTAAAAATTTACCATAATCATCTCCACCTAACTCTAAAGAAAGTACAGTAGAGTTAAGATGGCATTGTAGATGTGGAAGGCTATTATGGTTTGGATGTGAGGTATTCCCCAAAAACTCACGTGTGAGACAATGTAAGAAGGTTCAGAGGAGAAATGATTGGGTTGTGAAAGTCTTAACCTCATCAGTGAATTAATCTCTAATGGTAGTAACTGAGTGGTAACTATAGGCAGGTGGAGTGTGGTTAGAGGAAGTGCTGAATTGGGGGTATGGCTATGGCATATATAATTTGTATATGGAGGGTGGAGTCTCTCTCTCTGCTTTCTCACCCCCACTTGAGCCTCCTCCCTCTGCAACAATTTTCTGCCATGTTGTTCCTGTCTCACCTTGAGTCCTGAGGAATAGAGCTGGCTGTTTTATGGCTTGAGACTTCTGAAACTATGAACCCTCAAATAAACTCTTCTTCCTCTACAGTTGTGATGGTTGGGTCATTTTGTCACAGTAGCAAAAAGTTGACTAAAACAAAGGCGCTTTAAAAAAGCTCCATGTGGCCCTCGGAGCACAATGTGGCATAATTATTAGAATCTCTAGCTAAGATGATAGCATAGCCCTCATCATGGAAAGTTTATCCTGAGACCTATCAACTTACCATAGTCTTATTTGGAGGACTGAGTCTTAAAGCTCCTTAGTCCCCATACCTCTTTTTTTTTTTAAATATTTTTTTTTAGTTATACATGGGCACAATATCTTTATTTTGTTTATTTATTTTTTTGCAGTGCTGAGGATTGAACCCAGGGTCTCACACATGAGAGGCAGGCTCTACCACTGAGCCACAATCCCAGCCCCCTATTCCTCTTAATAAGTACATCAATAATCCTTCCGGAAGCCAGCTCTGTGAACCCCTCCCTAACCATGCTCATCTTTCTCTTGCTGATAGACTCAGATTGAAAACAAGAAACAACAAGTAGAAACAACTTTTGAGAGGCTGCAGCAGGAGCTGGAGGACCAGCGGCCTCTCCTGCTGGCCAGGCTGAGGGAGCTAGAGCAGGATCTGGAAGGAGAGGGATGAGTACATCACTAAGGTCTCTGAGGAGGTCATCCAGCTTGGAATCCAAGTCAAGGAGCTGGAGGAAAAGTGTCAGCAGCCAGCAAGTGAGCTTCTACAAGTGAGAGACGCCCCACCCCCTCTTGGGAGAGCAGAGGAATTTCACAGGAAGGGGCTCCACGTTGTGAGCTGGAATGTGCTGGAGAGAAGCAGAAAGGGAAGTGAAGATTATCTCTAATGGGAGGGACCAATGCTTGTCTAGTTCCTCTAGCCCAGAGAGTCTGTGATCTTGTTAAGAACTATGGATGGATTCAGACAGCCCTGGGTTTGAATGTTGGCTCTTCTAGTTGTATCACTATGTAAAGGTAAAATTTCTAATCTGACTCTAAGCTGCAAGAGTCTGAGTTAAAGTGTAAAAGACTGGGGATTGTAAGGTTTCTAAATTGAAAGGCTTGGGCTAAAAATAATAATAATAGACCAGGTATTGTTAAAATTCCTCTGCTACCCCCGAGCCTGTAATCTCTGTAGCTGTTAGGACAATACCTGAACTGCCCAGTAAATATTTCCATTGATTCCCTGGTTGTTTATTAGCTAAGGGCTCCAAATAGCTCAGACATAAGCATCCAGGCCACAAAACCAATCAGTTTAAATGTGTACCCCGCTCAGGGGTGACCAATCACCTCTGCCCAGACTGTTCCCGCCAATAAATGTACTAATCATGGCTCAGGGTTGTTGTTCAATTTTCCCGCGCCTCAAGATGGTTTGTTCTGATGTATGCAAAACCCCTCACCCTCTCCAAAAAGTGTACTTAAGCTCTGCTTGACCTCTGCTCTGGGCTCTGGGCTGCTCTCCCTTCCTGAGTGAGCCTTGAGCCCCAGCATGCTGGTTCAATAAAACTTCCCCCTGCAATTGCATGAAGCTGGTCTCTTGTGTGGTCTCTCCCTCCGACGCTCCGACGGACCCTTACAACTAGAGGAGTCTCTTAACCTCTTTTATGCACAAGAATAATAATAGCACCTCCTTTGTAGGGTTGTTGCAAACATAAAAAGAATTCACGTAAAACACTCCACGTGGGCTGTGACACTCAGGGAGAATTCCATAAATGGGGCCTGTCATGGTCTCCTGTCAGGTCCAGCTAAGACCTCAAGGCTGGTCCTAGCTCTCCACCAGCTCTTAATCTTTGGAGGCAGAACTTACCCTTTAAGACTGAAACAGAGAAATTATCACAAAAGAACTGGCTGCAGAGTCCACATTAGCAAGGAAC